AGCCATATATATATATATATATATATATATATATATATATATATATATATACAGGCCTATATATATTTGTATATATATATATATATATATATATATATAAACAGGCGTTCTGTCAGGAAAAAAATAATAATATAAGAATGAGTTATGAGAAGAAAAACACCTTTCTAAAAAAATAGATAGATAGGCATATAGGCTCCAGCATCCCATGACTGAAACAGTGTGACAGTACCTAAGACAAGTGGTTTGGAGAATGGATGAACTGATGGATGGAAACAAATGGCCTCACATGTTCATAATATAATGCTATTAACCTAACTTATGGCTGTGCTATATCACAGCGGTTTTGCAAATTTAACTGTGATTGACAATTTAAATTGTGACTGGTAATGTAATGACAGCAGAAAATCCTCCTGTGTTGATTTAATACATACTGAGTGCACAAGATGTGGCTGGACTCAGTTAAGCTCACATCTTGCATAACTCCCTCCACACAGTTTTTGTAGAACTTGTTGACATTTTTTTCCAAGTAACTGACTTTCATGTCCATTATATATTTTTTCACATCATTAAAAAGTACTTCAGCATCTCCATTGGCTACATTAGCCATTCTGGGCAAGGTACTTTTGAAGGAATTCAAGGAAGCGAGCATGTAATGCATCTCAGGGCAGCTTTTCTATTACAATGTACTATGTTTGTGTGTTTGTTTATTTATTTATTAACTTAGAACCAACAACAATAATGCTTGGTTTAATGCAAACCAAATTTTATTTATTTATTTATTTTCAAATGCTTCAAATAGGCCTACAATGAAAAAATAGTTGTGTGGTTCACCCTCTTCCCAGCATGCATTAGTAACTTGTTATCTTCTGATATCAGGATAACCTTGTTCCTCTAATCCAAATGATCAGTTATTGTTACCCTTATCATGTTTCATGTACCCAGTTTTGAGGTCTGTGTGTGATATTTCAAACTATTTAATGTATGTGACTTGCCACAAGTGCTTATGCTGATGTTATGAGATATCAGTAGTCACTTTGTTTTCCATAATAAGCATTTCTCATAGAAAATGAAAAAGCAAAACCAAACAGCTTGTTTCAGAATGTTCAGAGAACATTCCTATAATGTTTTTGAAATGTTCCCATAACGATGAATTTTTTAAAATAAAAAAAACATTTA